GTGACAGGGTCTCACTATGTAGTCGAGACTGACCTGGAACTCACTATGTAGCCCAGGCTGGTCTCGAACTCACAGCGATCCTCCTGCCTCAGCCTCCCGAGTGCTGGGATGACAGGCGTGCACCACCATGCCCGGGTTTGTTGCTTGCAATTCTCTGGAGTAGCAATGAGCCAGTAGCAGCCAATACCCTGGAAGCTCGATGCTAGGTACACTTGCCCAGCAGAGGGACTGGGAAGGACACCATATGTGTCTACTGCAGGGGGAAATGGTGTCTTATTTTGACTCACTTCAAACTGAAATTTAGCATTTTCTTCATTATGGAAGTAGACAATAAACCACAATTAAAACAAAATCTATGACTTTGTCATCCATAAAAATCAAATCGATTTTTGTGTCATATTACTATAGTTCAAGTATCTTTTGTCTGTACTTTGAAATGATGATGGTAAACTTGATAGATACTTTTTTAAAAAGCCAGTTTTATTTCCTTATTTTATTTGTTTATTTATTTATTTGTGTGTGTGTGTGTGTGTGTGTGTGTGTGGTACTGGAGATCAAACTCAGGACCTTGCGCTTGTGAGGCAGGTGCAGTGTCATTGAGCTACATCCCAGGCCCGATAGATACTTTAATGTGTTAAAAAAGGATGTACATTATTATATTACAGATCTAATCTTTGAACTATCTTGGTCAGCTTGTCAGTATAACTGCAGTCGTCCCCTTTTTGGTTTTTGAGACAGGGTCTCATTATATAGTTCAGGCTGGTCTTGGACTCACTATGTATCCCAGGCTGACCTCAAACTCACAGAGATCCTCCTGCCTCATCCTCCAGAGTGCTGGGATTGGTTATCAGCATGCACCACTATGTTCATCCCTGAAGCCCTTTTTAACACTATGTACTTTATGCATTTTAAAATATTATCCTAACAAGGGTCCACAGGCTTCACCAGACTGCCAAAGGGTTCTGTATGTAAAAGAGGTTGAAAACCCCATTCTGGGACCTTGGTTTCTATATTCAGCCAGAAATGGGGAATGTTTTTTGGGGTCAGGCCTGGAAGGAGCAAACATCAGTTCTTCCCACAATGCATCGGTCAGATCACAGTCACTTGACCACATCTAAATGCAAGGGAGGCTGGGAAATATCTGTGTGCCCAGAAAATGGAGGAAATGGTAGTGGGGAATACACAACAGCCTGGGCCACAGGGCTGGATAGTGACTGACAGCGTAGATCAGTGACGGCGAACCTTTTAAAGACCGAGTGCCCAGACTGCCGCCCCAAATCCACTTCTTCATCGCCAAGACCAACGTTGCAATTAAACTTGAATACGCAGGTTTTAGTTTAGGAAAAAGCAGCTGTTGTCTGATGCTTGGCTGCTGGAGTGACGTGGCTCACATGTGCCAACAGAGAGGGTCCCGTGCCTGCTGAGGCCTGTGTGCCAGAGGCTGGACAGCACTGGCCTGCATGGAAGGGTGCTGTATCCAGGGTGTCGCTCTGAGGGTGGGGAGGAAAGGCAGGGAGCAGGCTCTTTGACAGGACCCTAGATCTCATGCCACATTTTCCCCTTAGGACAAGCCACGCGAAGGCCAAAGCTGAGGCAGCAGAGCAGGCTGCCCTGGCTGCCAACCAGGAGTCCAACATTGCCCGCACTCTGGCCCGGGAGCTGGCCCCAGACTTCTACCAGCCAGGTAGGGCCAGCCAGGGCGGGGAGGGGCAGTCTCGGGGAAGGCACTTTTCTTGGCTTGCTGCTCACGAATGTTTCTGAGTTGTTTTGTTTTGTTTTGTTTTGTTTTTTTTGGTACCGGGGATCGAACTCAGGCCCCTGCGCTTGCGAGGCAGGTGGCGAAACCACTGAGCTAAATCCCTGGCCCCTGTTTCTGAGTTTTGTAAACTCTGGGACATGGTGCAGAAAGGGTAGGAAGGGGCAAAGGAACGTGGGAATGTGGAGCCCTGCCTTCATGCTGAGACTGAGGTGATGGGGTTAGCAAAGCTGCCCATTTCACTATTCTGAGCAAGACAGGTGGATGGCTCTGGTGAAACTCAGAGGAGGGGTTGGTGAGGGGCAGCTGAGAGCAGGAAGAGTTGGTCAGGCATTCATCGAGCAGTGCCTGTGTGTCAGGCACTGTGCTGGACTCTGGGGTGTGCAGCTAGGGCCCAGAATCTGGAAGAACAGAATGTATCACAAAGACAGCATAGCGTGGGATGAGGCATACAGACTGTGTGCTCAAATCCTGAGTCTACTGATTACCAAATGTGAGACCTTTTGCAGGGTCACTGGTAAGCCTCAGATTTCTGGTCTGTAACATGGATGTAAGAATGGTCCCTATGACCTTTTATTTTGGTGCTGGGGATCAAACCCAGGGCCCTACGCATGCTTGGCAAGTACTCAACCACTGAGCTACACTCTGAGCATTGAGTATGTGCCCGTGAAGTCCACAGTAAGCTCTCGGGGACTGAGCTGTTGTCGCATGGTGACGATTAAGTTTCACACAGCGCCGTGCTGTGAGGTGAGAACAGGATCGTGGGAGCTTGTAGGAAGTGCTTCACCTGTGGAGGCAAGGGAAGGTGTTCCGGGAGAGGCCATTTGGGCCACATCTTGAAGGCCACGTTAGGTCAGTGGGTCCCATACTTGACCTAATCCGTGGGCCTTGCCAATGAGTTCCCGATTTATTGGATCTACACGGGTCCGGTAAATGTGTTTTTCTAACAAGGACTGGGTGCTGCTGTGCCGCACTTTGAGACCTGCCATACCAGGTAGCACCGGGAGGGACAGGTGAACTTACCGGAAGGGGCCTGCACGTGCAAAGGCACGAAAACTTGGAAGAAAGTGGCTTGTGGGAGCTAGATGGAGAGCGGGCAGTAGGCGGTGAGGAGAGAGGCTGCAGAACGAAGGGACCTCCCGCGGATCCAAGGATGCACCGATCCGCAGATAGCATTTGGCTGAGCATCAGAAGCCCGAGGGCTGAGATTAGCGTTCCTGCTTCGGAAGGGTGAGTGTTTGCCAAGCATTCTTTTGGCTGCAGCAAGGAGACCAGAGGAACCCTGGACGGAGGCAGAAGGGCAGTGTGCTATGCGGGCGACATCACTTGCAGTCACAGTGCTCCCCCTGCTGGTCCCGGGAAGTACACCCGTGTGCCTTGGGCGACCACGCAGTGGCTTTAACTCTGCCAGCCCCGAGGTCGTTTTACAAGCATTTTCTCCGTTAACCCTGACAACAGTATGGAATAGGTATGGTTAGGCTCATTTTTACTCAAGGTAATGGAAGGAGACCAGGGTCACAGTTGAGAACATCCCCTCTGCCCTTTGCCGTGGGACAGCAGGCGAGCGATTCAACCTTTAGGGGTTTCCCCTTTTTTCATCTGTAAAATGGAGGTCCACAACGGCACCTCGGGGTCATTAAACGGAGTGCGCTCAGACTAGTGCCTGATCCTTGGCACCGAATGCTGGCTGAATAAATGGGACCCAGAGAGATTACGCGCTGGCCCTGGATCATACAGTTGTGGGCCGGGTGCGAATCCAGCCTCCTGGTGTTGTCCCTGGCAGGTCCGGAATATCAGAAGCGCCGGCTCCTCCAGGAGATCCTGGAGAACTCGGAGAGCCTGCTGGAGCCCCCCACTCGGGGCGCGGGCGCCGCGGGCCCCCGGGA